GCTTCCAGTTCTGAGAGGCGAGCAGCAGTCTGGTCTCGCTTGGCCAAAAGTTGATCCCGCTCAGAGGTAAGTTCCTCCTTTTCATGAGTCGTCCTTTGAAGGCCCTCGGAAGCAAGAAAGTTGGCCTGCAAAACAAAAGTGCAAATTTAAAACCCTGCTATAACAAAGATAGATGAAACAACATAGGAAACGAAGACTATACCATCGTTGTGTTGTGCATAGCATTATTCAACAAACACTCTCCTGATAGAGTTTGTATTTCATTACTATCTTTTTCTGAAGCCTAGTTCCACCGGCCGGGACAGCAGATGGCATCTAATGGAAATCGAGAGGGTAGCGCCCCTCCTCCTTTGGGGATCTTCGGAAGGGGCAGCATAATTTTGCCCCAAATTCCTATGAACTGGGGACTGGGGAAGAGGGACATCCTCCTCTCGGGCAACTGCGGCCAGTGGAGATGATGTAGCAGTTGCTGGTGGTGAAAGCAGAGTTGGTGAAGAAAGAGATGAAGCTGATAGCGTTGTAGGTTGAGAAGCAGTTGCAGCAAAGCAGTGCTAGTTGTTGGTTGCTCATCAACCGAAGCCGGAAGGGACCCGGTACTCAGCCTCATGGTACCTAGAACGGCAACTAGGAATCGAAAGTGAGAGTTAGCATTTTCCACCATATCATACTCCCTCTAGAGTGCCGAGGAATCGTCCTCATTTGGTGTAACTAGCTCAACAGATTGAGCATTATGTTGAGCTGATGAAGGTCGTCATCTTCTATGTAGAGAAGCTCCCTTATCACTAGCTTCTCCATCATCATGGATCACTATGGTGTATGTGCTCGTCTTAGGCGCGACGCTCATCACCACAACTTCCGGGGATGACTCGGGCGCTACATTCTTTGCTTTCTTATTTTTTCCCCTAGCTGTGGAAAATTGCCATCTTTTTGTTGCTTGTTCTCCGGTCGGAGACTCCGAGAAGAAGCACTGGCACATGATGCAGTACCGACTACACCCGTTCGGGTAAAGTCCTCTTGCAACAGCCTCGTCGCATCTGAAGGATCAGCCAAAATGTCCTCCTCGGGGACAACAACTGAGCCCTAGGTAGACCTGAATTCAACAGAAGAAAAATGTTAATCAATTCTCTTATACGAAAGGTAAAAACAATATGAGTTCAACATACCATAATTTTTTATCTTCCACCCATAATTAAGGGCCAGTTCTTTCCACGTGCGGGTCTCGGGTGTAGTGACATCCAAAATCTTTTGGACCCACTAGTCTAAGCTTTCGACCCTCGGTGGAGTCCATCGAGTTTCTGAAATAGGTGAAAGAAAAGGGATCAGTAACAACATAGGGTGATCTTTAATTAGAAGAAAAGACAAATGATGAACTTACGAGTACGGTTCCATAATTCCGAAAATGATGGAGTCATAGCCGGAATGATGTCCCTGGCGGCAAGTACAATGAACTGTTTCATCCATCCACGATCGTTGTTATCATCCATGCTAGTTAGAAGAGCATGGTGGCCATGTTTGCTAAAATTTATCATTCCCCCGCAGAAAATCTTGGGGGAATAAAGGTTCATTAACCGAGCCAGGGTTAGCTCTGCTCTCGTCTCCTGGCATAGACGCCGAAGACAAGCAACTATCCTCCACACAGAAGAGCTTACTTGTGCTAGGCATACATGGTAACGGATGCAGAACTCCACGATAATGGAGTCAAGATCCCCACTCAAAGAGAACGGATCCAAAGTGAAGGGATACATATAAAAATACATGAAACCTTTCTTGGGTAAGGTTATCCGCTTCGCCAGGTCAGGAGCGATGATGTTTAAATCATGGCAATGGCAGCCTTCCTTCACAGCAGGAATGTTGGAAGGACGTATGGAAGAAGGATACACGCCAACAGCCCATGTGCAAGGGTTAGCGGAAGGATACTTCTCTTCAAAATCTTTAGTTATGACTAGACTTCTTGGGATAATAGTGCTCACCGAAGGAGGAGAAGCAGCATCAGCTTTACCTTTGTTCTTTGAGGAACTAGGGTTTCTGGAAGAAAATGCCATTGTTATCGGAAGGGAGAAAAGGGTTTTCTTTGAACAATAAAGATAAAGAAAGTTGAAGACAAGTAAGAGTTGAGTAAAGAGAGTTTGAGAAAGTTTGAAAAATTATGAAGTGTAAATGAAGAAGTTTGATGCGTATAAGAATAGGCAACTAAAATCGGGGCCATAATTACCTCGATAACCGACAAAAGTAGTGCTGAATCGTTGGATGACGCGTGTTCGGGGCATTAAATGCGGAGAGACGTGCGTCTAATCAACCGTCAGACACTTTTCAGAGGGGGTCAGAGAATTTTTCGCCAAAAAGGGTATCTTTACCAACTTCCCGGTGACACAAGGTTATGCCACCAGAAAGCAGGGAGACTATCTGTATAGGGTAAAATCTGTTCATATTAAACGATCGCATGAGAAAGCGACACGTAGAGCCGGAGACAGAAGATAATCGGGTCTGAAGGCAATGATCTCGTTTGTTATCGGAGAGAATGATATTCATAAAGGCGAAATAAATGTCTGCCACCCGGTAGCACTTAATGAAGAATATTATGCAGCATTAAGTATATGGTCCGTTACAGAGAATATGGCATTCACTGCCTACCGTTATACATTCTTCAATGGCCCTCATAATTGTCATTTAAGAGGGGCTTGATCCTAGGACCTTCTTCTCTATGTGCAGCTATAAATAGTGAGCTCTACCATTATTGTAGATGACACGAATTTTCTCACAAGCATGCACTATACTTTGTTCAAAGCTCAATAATATTTTACTTTCTTGCTTATTTATATTTCTCTTACTGCCTCAGGAAGCTCTGCTCCCGGACTCAAGATCTCTACTGTCTTATCTCGATTTCATGCTAAGTCTTACATTTTTGTCTAATTTATTTATTATTTTAGGATCAAATCGATTCACTTGTCTATAAACCACGTATAAATTCAACTGTATTGTTTTTACGGGTAAACAAAAAAGTTAAAATTTTCATCTATACTTTGCATGTAGGCTATAATGTTATCGAACAAATCTTATAAGAAGATCCATCCCATATCCAAATTGCTCCTATCAAAGTAAATAAGTAAAGAGAAATTTTCACAAACCACTATTATTTAGTGGTTATTAGCTAGTTGTAGCTATCATTTACTATATTACTTTCTATAACTATATTTTTAGCTTTTTTAGAGTGTATTCGATGTATTTAAGCTATTGTATTCATGAATACAATAGCAAAACTTGGCGTGAAACAGGGGATTCCAGCTAGACAATTATTGTATTTGACTATATTTGACTGTATTCACGATATGTATTTGTGAATACAGTAATGTAATTAGCGTAAATCGTGGTCTATTCAGCTGTTTTTAAACGGAAAGTGAATCAATTAACACAATAGACTCCTAATATAACTCAATTACATCACCTATAATCTGTATTTGACGCGAAACATGCTAAATATTTTTCAATAGAGCTATCGCCGAGTTTCTAATTCTTCCCTTTTCTGTTGATATCGTTCGTGGGTATTTCTGTTTTCAACCAATAAAATTCGAGATTCATCTATATTGCAAAAACATATTAATACATATTGCAGATACATTTGAATACATATACACATCTGAATACATAAATTGTATTAATTAAAAATATATATGAATACATTCATGGAATACAGCGAGACAGTGAATACAATAAAATACATGGAATACAGCGAGATACATTTGAATACAATGGAAAAAAAAAAGATAATGAATACAATGAAATACAGCGAGATACATTGAAATACACTTAAAAAGGTAACAAAATCTTCAATTTGCTCAGCCCCAAACTCCGTCATCTTTGTTCAAGAAGAAACCTAATGTCGTCTCGTCGAGAGCGCCGCGATTCTTACTCGAAGCGTCATTGTTCCCGTTTCGATCAAGAACCCAGTCCAAAGAGATCTAGGAAGCACAATAGACCAGTCGAACTTTCCTCTTCTTCTTTGTCTCCTCCGCTACTCAATTTGCAACAAACAACCATAGACCTCATTCTATTACAACTTCTAGGTATCGGGAATTGAGGAAATAGTGATTTTGGCTTGGCGTGAGAAGAAAGAACGGAGATTCGCCGTTTATGGTGGTGGTGGCGAAGATGCTTTCCAGGAGGAAGAACGATCGACGGATGAACTGATAAGAGAGAATCCATGAGTTTTATGGCTTTGAAAGAGGGAGGGTGGAGAAAAATCTGAAAGAATGAGAGAAAAAAATAATACAAAGCGTATTTTATGGCTTAAGAATAGGAGGTGATCATAAATAGATATTTGGCTATAAAAATCAAAAGGTAGCTATGGAATATAATTCTTTAAAAGGGTATTTATTTAAAATAAATTAGGTATCAACCTTTGTTATAGGAGGTAAAAATTCCATAACTAAATGCGGAACTTAGCCACTGGCCCACTGTATTTCACAATAAAGTGATCGTAAGGCCCTAGCCCAAGCAATATGAGTTACAGAAAATTAAGCTTAATAAACTTAAAAATAAATGATGTTGATTTATTGGCTCCCGCTTGGTTCATGGGTAAATTTTTAAAGTTAAAAGTCAAAAGAACTACTCATAATAAAATAAATAATGAACAATATTTATTAAACTTGAAGTTATGTCAAAAATAACTTTTAGTGACAGCGAAGTATCTTATTTGTGCATTAGGCATTTGGACAGCCCAATACTAGTCCAGTGGAGTCGCTGAGTTCTCACCTGAACCAAATAAACCCAGATGAGAGTTACGTGAAGCCTTCGGAATTTTATTTCATTTCTTGGATGTAACGCCTTCAATTTGGCAGGTAAAGTCTGTGAATTGGATAAGAACGATGACGTGTAAGGCAAATACGCAATCGATTGAAACTAGCCTAGATTCACGTGCATTAGATTATACGCTGTATGCGCCTCCTCTCTATTAATAAAAACTTACACCTCGCTACAAACAATTATTATTATTATTGAACAAAAAAGAAAAAACGATCCATCTTATCTTGTTCTTGCTAAATAAGTGGGCAGTGGAAACCAAGTGCGCATAACCCAGAAACCAAAGCATATTATATATATATATATATTGCGGAGCCCCACTCTTATTATCATCTGTTTTGTTTATCAACAATGGCGACTTCAACCCTAAATCCTAACGCTCCAATCTTCATTCCTACCGAATATCGTGAAGTGGAAGACTTTTCCGACCAGTGGTGGGACCTCGTCCACTCTTCTCCCTGGTTTCGCCATTACTGGCTTCGTGAATGCTTCTCCGACCCCGACTCTACTGATGATGTTCCTTTTCTCCCTGATATTGATTTTATCTCCAACGATTTCAAGCGTAAGTCATCAAATTACTAACACAGCCCTTTGTTTTACTAATTTAAATAATTGTAAGTAATTTATTTTGTTTTATGTGATTAGAAGAGGAGAATAAGAACGAGTTGATCACTTTGGGGATGTTGAAATGGAACAAATCACGTGTTGCTGCTGAAATCCCAAGGTATGGGAAGAAGGTGCCGAAAATCGTGAACGTGAAAGTGAGCCCTAGGCCTATTCAGCAGCCAAGGTAGAACGAGTCACAACTCGGGACACACGAAGTTAGCTAGATCTGTTTAGTTAGTGTTTCATGTACATAGCTTGTTTAACTTGTTTTGTATCTGCACTTTTGTACCTTGTTTTTTTCCAATAAATGCCAATACAAAAGTAGATGCATAAAATAGAGCAAATGTTACTAGAACCAATATTGTGAACAGTAAATTAGATTTTAATTTTGGTTGATCTATCGAGAATTAGTAGAATGTAAAAGTACCTCCAAAATCAAGATACATAAAGATCAAACTAGGAGAACCTATAGATAGGTATAATATAATAAAGCAGTGGCTTAGAGATTAGTAAGTTGAATGTTGATCCCAGTTGGTGGCTTGTTTCCCTATCTTGTGAAGAACTTTGATGACCTCTTCATTAGTCACATTTCCAGTTACTGTCACCTTATTTAGCTGTGTATCCACATCATATGTTTCAATATCTGCCACACACCATCCAATTTGAAGGGAAAAAAAAAATAAAAATCCAGATTTTCACTAATACAATTTCAGAATATCATATTCTGGTGGTAGTTGAAGAAAATTTTAGGCATTTGGAAGATGTAAAAAGACTTGTCATACCTTCAATTTTCTTGATTGCCTTCAAGATTTTCTTGATGCATTCGTCACAGTGCAGACCAACTTTAAGCTCCACTACCTAGTGCACAAATGAAAAGTAAATTTCGAACCGATTGATATAATAAAAAGATTGATTATTTGATTGAAAAAACTGCTATACGAATGGTTTTGAGGTACTAAGTACTAACATTGGCCATTGCAGTTGCTACGTTTCAAAACTTGTTAATATGAACAAACTGCCAAACAATCTATCTTCCTAACTGATGCTAGCTAGAGAAGAAAATGAAGGGATGATGAATGATTTGAATGTTTTTTGAAACAGTTGGAAAGATTTAAAGGAAGTGGTGGGGTATAGGATTCTTTTCTTTGAGTAATTGGGGATTTTTCACTTTGTCAAAAGCTCCTTTAGAAACCCTTTTTCCTGGACGCGTAGGGCATTAGTCTCCGTTCATTTTTGAGGGCCGTGAAAATTGACATTAGCCTAATATTCTTCAAATAATAAACGGATAGAGCTATGACATTAGGAAATACATCATGCATCCAAATGCATTTGATACATTTTGCTATTTTGAGAGCTAAAACAAATTAGAGTATTTCTAATTCTAAGTTTAAACTTCTGAAACCATATACATATGAGAAGTGAAGAGTCCGGCATCACTCGTCCTCTTTAACATGGCTTTTAACTCATTACTCATTAGCTAGCTTTTGGGATTCATCTAACATGGTATCAAAACAAGATCCATCTCAATTTTCATTTCCTGATGTTGGGTCCATATTAATATGCTTGTGTTAAAATAGTAAATACTTCTGAAACCTGCCAAAGTACTCAAATTGGATTTTGGAACACAAAAGCTGACGGAGATTCTAAAATTGAGGGGGCTCGAGGGACAAAGTTCGAACGCACCAGAAGTTTCTGAAATAGAGAAGCATTAGAAGAGAAAAAACTTACGCACACACGATTGTGCTTACACCAAAATCTAAAATTATATTAATTTAATATTGATTACTTGATAAATTAATGTGAAAATATCCGAATTATAATTTGAGAAGTAATACAGGAACTATATAATAACGAAATTATTTAATGAATACAATTTTTATCGGTATATGGTTGGATTATATTAAAAATAAAATATACGAAGTATAATATATAACATGCGTTTGGTTTATAAGGACCCCTTCACGTTCGAAGCACCGTCTGTGAAGAGGGTCCACACCCCCGATGATGTACCCGACTTTATTAATAGTTCCTTTTCGCCCTCGGGTACAAGAGTTGGCGTAAAGTCGGTCATGAAGTCCGCTAAGATTTGAGACTTGATGGTCGTTCGGGGTCGATACTCGATATCGTACCCACTGATCTCGACGGCCCATTTGGCCAATCGACCCGAAAGTTCGGGTTTATGTATAATATTGCGGAAGGGGATAAGTAGTCACCACACAGATCGGGTGACACTGAATATATGATATTAATTTTCTGGGGGCGCTTATTAGGGCAAGCGCTAATTTTTCTAAGTGTGGGTACCGGATCTCGACCTCACCTAAAGTTCGACTAACATAGTAAACAGGAAATTATGTACCTTGCTCTTCTCGAACTAGGACCCCACTTACCGCGATTTTCGAGACTACTAAGTACAAGTAGAGTTGCATGTCCACTTTCGAAGTATGAAGCAGTGGCGGGATCTTGTGGTCGGTCGTGGCATCGATCATGCGATCGATATTCGGCAGAGGAAAAGGGTTTTTAGGACATGTTTGTTTAAATCTTTATAGTCAACGCACATTCTAATTTTATTTCTCTTTTTAGGGACTACGACTACGTTTGCTAACCATTCGGGATATTTTACCTCCCGAATGGATCCTATTTTGAGAAGTTTGGTTACATCGTCCTTGATGAATGCATGTTTTACCTCGGACTAGGGCCTTCTCTTTTGTTTTACCGGGCGGAACTTCGGGTCCAAGCTCAGTCGATGTATAGCGATTTCCGGCGGGATCCCTATCATATCTGGGTAGAACCAAGCAAAACAATCTATATTATTGATAAGTAATTTAACGAGTTTTTCCCTGAGCTCGGGGGTTAACCACGTACCCAGGTATACCTTTCGATCGGGTAGATACTCGATCAGTATGACTTGCTTCAGCTCCTCGACTGTCGATTTGGTGGCGTCTGAATCCTCGGGGATTATTAAGGATCGAGGGATCCAGTAATCATCGTCCTCGTCTGTTCCCTACTTCCCCGACTAAGTCCAAGTTGGTGGTTGTGGTTGCTATTTAGTTTTCTGTTTTCCTTTGGACTTCGATCCCTTTGTTGACGAAAGCACCGACACTGGTATTACTTCGTCGACTACGAACATCTCTTTGGTAGCATGTTGTTCCCCATACACCATTTTTACTCTATCCGGTGTTGGGAACTTTAGCATTTGGTGAAGGGTTGAGGGGACCGCCCTAATGTTGTGAATCCAGGATCTTCCGAGCAGTGCGTTGTATCTCATATCGCCCTCGATCGCATGGAATTTTGTTTCTTGAATAGTTCAGGCTACATTTACTACTAGGATGATTTCACCTTTAGTTGTTTCACTCGCCATGTTGAAGCCATTGAGAATTCGAGTTGCGGGTACGATCTTATTACACCCCATATTTTCGTATGTGAAAGTACGCCATAAATAAATTGATGGAAGCTCAGAAATGAGATGTTACATCCCGTATTTTCCTACGTTAAAGTTTCGTCGTAAGTTAATCGACGTAAGTTTGGGAATGGGATTATTTTGGGATTATAATTATTACGCTATTTCAAACAAGTGATGAGTAAATTCGTGAAGTTGAGAGGGAAAGCAAATCAAAGAAAATGAATTTCGTCAAAATTTGATATTTTAGGATAAAATACGGTCTAAGCTATAATACCCGATAATTATAGACTAGTGTCATACAAGGTACCACATGACCATGATAATGAGATATATAAGGTGTACTAAAAATGAGCAATATTTTAAGTAATTTGAGATAATTATTAATTATGTGGATAATTGGTTAATTATTGAATTAGTGGGGGATTAATAAACTAATTAAGGAAATGGGTGAATTATTTTGGATAAACTTGATAAATTTAACCCCCTCCCCCAACGTGGTTGGCCAAAGAGGCCATGATAATGAGTCTTTAACTCATAAGAAAAGTTGGCACATTTTGGAAGAGCTCTTGGCTTAGTCATCTTATCAAAGTGGGGTCCACACCTAAGGATTTAATACTTCTCTAATTTACTTTGTCTACAAGGTAATAATGGAAAGCTTCAGCAAGGATAAACTTTGCAATAGCAACGTTATCAATTGTTCATATCTTAAGAAAAAGCTTCAACAAGGATAAATTTTGCAATGGCAACGTTATTGCTTCAAGAATTTCATACAAATACTATTTAATACTATAGCAACTCATTCAAAAATGTTAGCAACGTGAATTTTGCTACAAAAATCATACGAGACTACGTAATGTTATGGCAACGGGATTTTGCGATTCTAATGGAGTACGGTGCAATCTTTCTCAAGAATATCATACGGATTTTTCCCTACTTCGATCGGTCGTTACACGGTGTCGTAATTGGCGTATGTTAGAGGGTTTGTCAAGAGAATCGGATCAGGTATGTTAAGGCTATCCCTTCTTTCCTTCTGACATGATCCAAATGATACAAATGAAACGAGCAAAATACGCAACTTTCATAAATAACTTTATTCGTAGAAATATTAGGGGTGTCTATATTCTTGATTCCCCATATGTCTTATTATTTTATTATATGTTCATGGGTCTCAAAAAATACGTAAGTTGATAAAATTTATTTCATGATATTAATCAGAGGCATAACGGTCTTATGACGTTCCGAGAAGTTTTATTGACGTACTTCTCATGTATTGCATTCATTTATACATGTACATTGATACATGACCAGATGGCGTTATATACATGTATATGTATATATATGTATATAGGATATGAAAAAGGTTACGGCACTATATACGCACCACCACCTTATCAGCTGGTATACATTGATGATTTGCCCACAATGGCCGAAATGATATGATGGAATGCCCTAAGAGGCTTGATGATGTTATGAACGCATATACCCATGCATGGTATGACATTTATACGCATATGCATGACATTATAACTATTGAATAATTCACAGAGTTATTCATACTTACATGTCGATTCTTTTACTCCATGTTTCTCTCATGTCTATTATTTACTGATTTTCATTCCTTACATGCTCGGTACATTATTTGTACTGACGTCCCTTTTGCCTGGGGACACTGTGTTTCATGCCCGCAGGTCCCGATAGACAGGTTGAGAGCCCTCCAAGTAAGCTATCAGCTCAGTGAAAGGTGTTGGTGCGCTCTATTTGCTCCGGAGTTACTATTTAGTTAGTATGATTAGGATATGTACTGATTGGTATGGCGGGGCTCTGTCCCGAACTTTATGATAATTATGTATTCTTAGAGGCTTGTAAACAGATGTCATGTATATGAAAGATTCTTATAGGTCGTATGTCTTATTTATAAGTTGGTATTACATATTTTATTCTAGTTATCCCACGGCAGCTTTTTCGTCTCATTTTCCTATGATAGTATGATACGAAAAGATACGTTATGTTGGTACTCGGTTGAGTAAGGCACCGGGTGCCCGTTGCGGCCCATCGGTTTGGTTCATGACAAAAGTGGTATCAGAGCAGTTCTGTCCTAGGGGGTCTACAAGCCGTGTCTAGTAGAGTCTTGTTTATGGGTATGTTATGCACCACACTTATAAGCAGGAGACTACAGGGCATTTAGGATTGTCACTCTTTCTTCTTACTCTAGATCGTGTGGTAGAGCTCAGTTGTAAGAACTAAATTTCCTAAACTCTATCTTATTTATAATACGACGATACTTACATCCAGAAAGACAGTTGGTAAGAGGTTGCATGTGGCTATGGAAGAGTTGAGTTAGAGGAACTCTATTTTTCATGATGCTTATGCTGAGTAAATGTAAGGTTTCCAGCAGATCATGTGTGTACTAAGATGTGTGAGCTTCTGTAAAAGGATCCCTAAGGCATGAATATCTATTCACCCATATGGTAGAAAGCAACGAGATATTCATAAGGTAGATACAAGCTTCAAGGAGTAAAAGAAGCAAGGTGAAGAAGGGTATGAGGTACCCAGTTAAAGAAGATTATCGGTATTTACAATTGAGGCAGAGAAATATAAACATTTTGAGTTACCTTTAATTATAACAGAGGTATGTACAATTGGCCACACCCGTCTCATTTATGCCCTTTGGGGGCTAACAAAAATAGTATAAGAGAAGGCATGATATCAGGATCTAGCTGGGGTTAAGGTAACCCAAAA